ACTTTTTTTTGGGACGGAAGGAGTAAGTAGGAACCTCTTATTTAGTTATTTTAATAGTGCGGTCCAAGGACCATGGTTTCTTAATGTATGAGTTAGGTCTTGAAATTAACTTTTGTTAATCTCAATCCTCGCTCACAAATATAAAAGAGAAAAATATTTACGCGTGTCTTTGTTATAAGAAATTTTGTTTTATTCTAAATTTCATCTAATATGTGTTTTTAATTGACAAAGAAAACCCTTAATGAATATGAGAATGCATTTTTAATTTTTTTTTAATTGAAAAAATATATTAGGTGAAATTCACGAGAAAGAGTGATAATTAAGGAGAATAAGAAAAAGAAGCTCCTAGCAAGCTCTAAAGTCTAAACAAAAGTACGTCTTTATCCCATGTGATCAGGCCTAACTTTTGTTATGTTAAATTAACTTTCTGACAATGTAGATTCTTCTATGCATGGATACTAACAAAAGCTTAAGCAGATCACCTTTATTTTATACGGTTTTATATTAATTTCTTTTGGGTTTTTTAATCGAATTATTTCCCTAGTAATAATCTTCATGTGCTATTGGGTTTGATCTTCTAACATGGGATTGATAATTTGAGTTCCTCATAATATATTTATTTATTTATTTATTTATATTTATTTTGGGTATTGCATAATAGATAACCATAGACAAACTAACAGAGATCATACATCCGTTACTAAAGAGACACATTTGAAGTACTACATTTAATTTGATTTTTTAAGGCTCCAAACAAAGTCGTACTGCGAAAGCTTGCATACATATCAGTACATAATTAAAATAAAGAGCAATGATATAGACAGTGATAAATTATAGTAAAATGGAATAGTGACTAATAAAAATACAAATACACTATTCTTACTAAATATATATATATTTATTAATTAGAGCTAAATATGTAATTTTTAGGGAAAGATAAAATTTTAACAGAAAAGTGACAAAAAAATTAAGGGTCAAGAATACTCCACATCACTCATTATCTTTTTTCACTATTTTTCCCACTATACATATCATTTTCCTAAAATAAATATCATATTCGTCATATTCTCCTACTGCGAAAGATAGATTATCTGTTAATCAAAATTAATGGTATCTATATATATTTTGCAAACTACCAAGTGTATTTTGTGTCACGCTATTTTAAGGCGAAAATTTCTTGGGAAGTTTTGGATTAGGGGCAGATAGAATAAATAATTCATAACATTGTCTCCCATACAAGATTCTAACTATCATTATTCAAAAATATTTTTTCTTTTGATTGATTTAAAATTTTAATTCTTTCTTTTTTTGCGAATATGATTACAAGTGACAAAAAATATTACATATCTTACATATATATACATACTCTATTGGTTAAAATACAATTTTTTTTGTAGATTATGATTTAAAATTGTCAGTGGCATAAATTACAAAATATGTTATTGAGTTCTTACAAAATATTTGTTGTCTTGATCCAAGTAAGAACGAATTTTTCTAAATTTAGGGACAATTTTATGTTCCCTTCATGCATGATTGCATGGAAGGGGAAAGAAATTATTTATTCAAAAATAAATCTTCTTTTAGGAATGAGAAAAATTTAACTTCTATATTTCAAATGGTCTAATGTTGTGGATTTAAATTAATAGCTAGAAAAAATGAGCTTTAATATACATTTATTTTAGTGGACATTGGAATTAAAAAGAGTACCATTTAGTCTAAATTACTTATTATTGAGCGAAACAATTTCATTTCACAATTATCAACGGAACTATACAAGATAAAAACGTAACCTTTCTTAATAAGGCTCAAAGTATTAATTCCCTAATATAAGAATTTTGTTCATGGTGTAATAAATATTTAATTCTGGGACAGAATGTATTAGACAAAAATCTTAAAGGGGAGCTCACAATTTGTAACAATTTATTTTACCCACAGTTATTTTACCGTAACCTAGATTCGTAACACATGTATTTTTACCCGCAATTATTTTACCCAATATTGGGTAAGTAACAAATGTAGTACAGTAACGGAGGAGTATTTTAATAAAGGCTGAAAACTAAGGTAAAAGTCAACTACTGCTGTCTTTCTAGTCCGTTCCGAAAATTCGAGGAATCTGATCAGCCTTCCATGTCATCATCTTGTTGTCTTCTTAACTTTTTAAACTTTTCAATTGTCATTGGCCCAAATCTCTTTCTACCTTTCATCACTTTACTTTTTTATACACAGAAATCCTACCAGTCCAGGTAATAGTAATAAAAAAAACCACAGCCTTACTCCCTCCATCGCGTTTATCTTTATCCAACGCTTTGCTAAACCTTCTTGTAAAAATGATAATCCAAAATCAGTAAAACAAACTTTCAAGAAGTTCTTTACGAAAGGTTAAGAATATCACAAGAGATGTGGATAATACTACTAACTTTTATATATCGTGTTTATTTGTTTTGTCCAAAATTCTAAATTTAGTAGTTCGGACAGAGATGTAACAACATGTTACTTACTCCGCACAAATTTAGGGTTTGTTTGCCCAACACTTATTTTGTATTTTTGTCTTATTTTATTTCTTAAAACACCTCTTATACATAAATCTCAATACTATCTAAACAACTTTTTAATTTACCTTTTAAAAATATTCCAAAAATTATTTTTACATAATTTTCGTCCACCACTGCCGGACCACTTCCACTACCATCCGCCGCCCGCCGCCGGACCATCGGCCGGATTCCGGCCAAATTCCACACGAGTTGGCCGGAATTCGGCCGGCCGATCGCAGCGGGCGATGATCTGACGGCGGCGGCAACGGTTGTCCAGTGGTGATCTAAAAATATTATTATTTTATTTAAATATCATCTAAACAACTTTTTAAAATTTTATCACAAATCACGTTTTAAATTACATATCAAACCCAAATCAAAAACCAAAACAAAAACTACAATAAAATGTTGGTCAAAAAAAAGCCCTTTGTATTTGCGTCTTATTTCTTACTCCGTACATGACTAAACTGACTAATAACCAATCACCACGACGAATGTATGAAAATTGAGAGTTTACACTTGGAAATGCTGTAGAGATGAATAATCACCAAGTCTAATATAAATCTGATGTAATCTTTTGGAAGAAAAAAAAAGAACTGTTTCAAATTTTATTAATGAAAAAATATGAATATTATTTTCTCAGTTTGTATAAACATAAAAAAGTTAGTATTGGATCAAAACAAAGTGAACATTGCGGTATACACTGTACAGAACTGGAAGTATGTTATCGTGGGGGTCCTACTTCCCACATCACCTTTCCTTTGGCCTTTTCTGCGCCTTCTTTTGGTATGCTTTCTTCTTCTTCTTATTCTTCCTTCTTCCACCCTTTTCTTTCTTTTTCTGCATGGAAACACCAAAATCGTTGTGTCATACGATTCGAATTCCCCCACCTCCTCATCCTCATCTCTCATTCACTCCACCCTAGCAACTTTTTTCTTGTTTGATTCTTCTTTTTCCATTTTTGTTTGGAATGTTCTGGTTATTTTTCTCAAGTGGGTCTGCTCTGAAAATCCAAAGTTTTGAAACAGAGTCCACTCAGGATTGCCTTGGATAAGGTCTTATCGGGTTTCAGGTACATGGTTTTGTTGGGAAGAAAAAACCCAATTGAAAATTTTGGATCTTTTCTTCTTTACTGTATTGGTGATTTTCTGATTTTTGGACTTTGCTCGTTGATGTTGTTGAAAATCGCTGGTTTGTGGAGAAAGGGAAAACTTTTGTCTTTCATTTCTTTGTCTACTGTCCCCTTTCTGTTGGATTTCACTTGTTTTTTAAGTTTTTAGAAGTGTAATCACCTACTGAATTTGAGTCTTTGATGGTCCTTCTGATTTGTTACTGATCGTGATTGGTTTTTGTGCTTTTGGATGTTTCAATTTGATGACGTTTTATGTAACTGTCGAGATTTGGATTTTGGGATTTGAGCTTAAAGTGGCATTTTCCTTTTCGTGGGTGATGTGCTTTTTAGCCCTTTAGACATAAATTTATCTTTTGGTCTTCCGATTAATCTGCTTTTGAGCTTTCTGATTTTTCAATTGCTTTTTGAACTTCTGATTTGTTCTCTTTGTGATTGAGCTCGTTTCTTATCCGAATTTGATACTTGTTGGCTTGTTTTATCGGTGTCTGTTTTTAGTTATGGACCAACTGTCGGTGATTTTAGTAATTGGGATTGCTAAAAGGTCAGATAAGCTTCATTTTTGCCATTAAATCCCTTCTTTCGGCATGATTGTTTATGTTGATCATCAGCTTGCATTATTTTTTTACCTGCTTTTGTTCTCAGTAATATGATTCTTCTGCCTGCAAAGGCGGCATCTGTTCGTTTGCTCTGATTTTGTTGTCTTACTGTGCCCTTTTCATTTATATGGAATCCCCGATCCAGTTTTCTCTATAATTGAAATCCTCCCAGCTGTTTCATACTGCAGCATTGGTATTGTAAGTTATGGTGTCTGGACTTTGTATAGAGCCATGATTGATGTTAGAGAAATATAAACCGTAAATGAGTAACTTGGGGCAGCTCGTGCAGAGAAATATTGTAGCAATTTTTAACAAAACCTTTTCTCATGATATGTTAGCTTAGTGTCCTAAGAATTATGAGGAAGCAGAAAGCGCACTAGTTTTGCTGTTAAATTTGCTAATTACTGATAATTTGCTGCTTCAAACTAGAGAAAAGTTATTCCCTTTTCACTAAACTGAAACTGCTTTTGAGTAGTCCTTTGTAAATTCATATTACATTATCACAAAGGAACTTTTCCTCGTAATTGTTTGTTGTTTTCCTAGAATTAGCTTTTGGAAGAAAGAGAGGAAACCTGTAAGATGTTTTTTCTGAGTTGAAATTGCATTTGTTAAACTTCTAATGTTCGTTGGTACCGTACTGTAGACAGATACACTGTAAAGTTTATATTATGCGTCTGATGTATTGTTAACATGCTTCTTGCATTTCTCTGTGTAGACGGTTTTTCCATATAAACAATTATCATGGGGGCTTCAAATTCTACAATGGAAGAAGACAAGGCTCTGCAGCTTTGTCGTGAGAGAAAGAAATTCATTGGACAAGCCCTTGATGCCAGGTGCTCTCTAGCAGCCAACCATATAGCTTACGTAGAAGCACTAAAAGTTACTGGATCTGCACTTTGGAAATTTGTTGAACCTGAAGCTCCTGGTGGTTCTTCCTTTTATACACCTACCGCTGCCACTTCCGAACGCCTTGTAACTGAGAAGTCTGTTTCCCAATTCTCCATCTCATCTCCAACATCTTCTCAGCACGCAGATGCAAATAGGAATATCTCACCATCACCTTCACCTCCTTCATGGCATTATCAGACGAATCATATGAAATTCAGAGGATCTTTCTCCAAGAAAGTTGAAGAAAAACCCTCCATATCTCATACAGTTATTTCAGGTAGTCCTCAGAGCACCACTCCTCGTTCATTTGGAAGACCTGACACTCCACCTCTCGAACCTCCTCCAGTTCCACCTGAATCTCCTCCATGGGACTTTTTTGGTCTTTCTCATCCTGTTGATAATCGTGTTTCTTCCCAAGAACAAGGGGACCTTAACTCAGATTTGGAGTATGCTGATGAGATTAGACAGCTACGAGAGGAGAGAACTTCTGAAGGTGGCGAGGAGTTTTCTTCCCATGGAAAGGAATCATCGGAATCAGAAGATGAATTTGATGAGCCTTCTGCAGAGAGACTAGTTCGAAGATTTGAAAATGTAAATAGAACAGGGGATAATGTTGTTACAAGTGATTCACCTGCTATCCACTCCGCAAAGAACATATCATCGGAATCAAAGGTGTTGAATGGGATGAAAACCAAGTCTCCGGACTTAACGCCGTTAAGAGCTGCCTCATCTTCTGAAGCTGAAGTCGTAAATGGCATAAAGACGAACACAAAAGTAGATGATTGTGAAAATGAAGTTCCTCCAAAGGACTTTTTCCGAAGCATAAAAGATATCGAACTTCTATTTGGAAAAGCATCTGAAGCTGGTAGAGAAGTTCCTCGAATGCTTGAAGCGAACAAATTTCATTTTCGTCCAATCCTTCCTGGGAAAGAAAGTACGATCACCTTCTTTAATTGGGCATGAATGTTTGTTGAAATATATTCTGCATACTTCTGGATTCATTGTTTTCTAGTTCTTTGATATTTAATAGACTAAAGAATTCATTTTCCGCCTCCTTCCGGGGAAAGAAAGTACAATCACCGTCTTAAATTAAACATGAATGTTTGTGGGAATACATTCTGCATGCTTCTACATTCACTGTTTTTTGTTTCTTTTGTTATTAAATTAAGGGATTCAACCTCTGTAACATGTTGAATGTTTGAGCTTATTCCAAAGGTCTGATGTCGTATGGTGATTGCAGTCTTGAAAGCATGTATAACCTTCCCTGGCCTGATGCTTTTGTTTATTTCATTTCTCATTTCTGAACAGTTTTTAACTTTCTGAAGACTTATTATCATATTTCCATTACAACTTTTACGTAGTCTTAAAAATATAAACTCCCCTGGCAAGGTGCTTTTGTTCATTTCATTTGTCATTTTTAAACAGTTTTATACATTCTGAAGGCTGATTGTGATGTTTCCATTAAACTTTTACATTTTCGTTGGAAAACGAGAACCAGAAAGCTGTCCATATGAGCTAGAGTCTTAAGAAAATGCATACTGAAAGGATTTCAAGTCTACTCTACAGTGCCTGATTTTACCTGTAAAGGCAGCTAACTATGATGGGCCAAAAATAAAAAAGCAAAAGCCTGTCAGCCTGAGTTTATTGTTGCAATCTCATTAATGCCTTTTTCTAGTCTTGTTTTTTGTTTCAAGGTTGCAATCTGTTGTTTCCTGATATAAGTTGTGGAATTTATAATGGAGTAATTGTTTTCTTCTTTTGCCATATGTGGTGATAGATGGAAAGACAGCCTCGTCGCTCTTGAAGTCTTGTTTTTCTTGTGGTGAAGATCCAAGCCAGGTTCCGGAAGGTAAATCTTTCAGTCTTTACTATGTAGTGTTCTTTGTCTGATGAAAGGTAACTCATATTTTGCGACTATATTTATGCTGGAGTATTATTGTAACTTTGACTTTTTTATGTACAAAAACATATGTACTTCTCACAACTACATAGTATAAACCCTATGATGCTTGTTCTTTTGTCTTGTTTATGTCTCATTAATGCAATTAACTTTGTTCGCGAGTAAGTTGCATGAGGCTTCCAAAGTTAGGACGCAAATGTTGTGTGAATATTACGCAATTTTGAGTATGTTGACAGGCAATTTGTTTGCGAGGAAGGTTTAGCATTCCACTGAGATTCATTGTTCTTTGACTGACTTTCATTCCTATTCTAATATAGTTGGTTCTATCAGTTCTTATCATTTTTTGGCGCTTTAGATGGAATTTCTGCTGTAGTTATTAAGAAAGAAGAAAAGTTTGAAGTGGTTAGGTAGGGTGTTTGACAGTTGAGTTATGTTGAATAGTATTGCAGAATGTTCATGACCTCATCATAATCATTTGTTGGGATAGTAAGCAGCAGATGTGTTTGATGAAATATTTGCTTTTTGCCGAGCACAATTTGTTGGAACTTGTTATAATAAGCCAAATGACCATTGATGTTTCTACTCCATGAGAATATTCGGTTTTACGCAATTGAATTATGTGACCTAAGGCGCTGAATAATTCCCATGATGTCAGTCAAATTTTGTGTGCCAAATGGGGAAAGAAAATAAGGAATAAGAATTATGTAAGTGTAACCCTCACGAATCAAATTTCCCTCTAGATAGACAGAGATTGATATGGTTGTAATGGTGTTAGCTCTTTGTTGCCACTTTGAATCCATTGCCTTCTTATAGTATGAGATAAATTAAATAATTGATTGTGCATCTTCTCCGCATAACCAGCTTCTCCCCTAAATCTTTTCTGATATCTTCTATGTTGGCCATAAATTCCTGTTAGGATGCTATCTCATATTTGTTCAAGGATGTGATGACCAAAAAAACCTCAATGATGACTTCACACTGATTTTTCTCAACTCTTTTCATTAACATGCAATATTAAACTTTTACTGGTCCCAAGTTGTATTAATTTTGATTTTGCTGGCGCTTATATTGTTTGATCTGCTCAGTGCCTGCTGAAACCGATGTGAAGTATTTAACTTGGCACCGGACTTCCTCATCTCGATCCTCTTCATCAAGGAACTTACCCCGAGCAAATTCTATAGATGATGTTGAAGACCTTACAAAGAATCTTCTGGAAAGTTTTAGTATGATCTCTGGAAGCCATGCCTCAACTATAGATCGATTATATGCATGGGAGAAGAAACTTTACGATGAAGTCAAGGTAGGGATGTATGTTAGTTTCATTTTGGCTTCTTTCTGGAGCAATATTTTTATGTTTGGAGGGTTTTGGTTGAATATGTTTATTATTTTCCTATTTCACCGTACATTATATTCCTTTTCATTCTACCCCTTCCACTCGTGACTATTTTATCACATATCTGTTTATTACTGATTAGTGGATTGAGATTGCGTTCCAATACCTTATGGTTGTCCATGTTATATGAGTTATGGGTTAGGACTTTTTCATATAAATCAAGAGTTAAAATAACCGGATTTGATCTGTATCCCAATGGCAGGTATTTTGCCCACCTTAAATCATGTTTCTCATCTTTCTGATTTTTGTAGGGTTATCTTCATTGTATACTCACTCTAATAGGGGTCTACACTGGGAAAGGAGGTTTCCATGTTTTCTGATGCAAAAATAAAATTTGATTTGTGATTTGGGTGGGACCTGTGATTTATTACTTCGTCACTCGCAATATATGGGTCTGGTTTTCCTTTTCTGTTTCCAGTTTTTCATGGCGGATTGCTAAGATTGCTCTATTATTTATGGTTTTGTTCTTATAAAGGTTCAAAAAAAAAAAAATGTTCTAAAAGCATGTCTCTTGCGTTGTTGTGTTTCGCAACTTAAAGATGTTAGTCTTCATAATGTCCCACTTTATTGGTGATGTCGCCTGCTCAGTTGAATAAGTTGTTAGATGACCCTTAGTGCTTTTATTCACAACGGAGATTCTCAATGAGAGCATTAATCCATTTAAACAGAAGTATATAAACTGAAAATTACTTTCTTAATGTTTTCATACTATTTGGGAATTGGAAACTATATGCATCAGTGCATGCAAAACTTGGTATGCCTCTGAAGTAGAAATACAGTATCTTGCTAAGATGCGCTTGGAATGGTGCTCAATCTGTATGCATTTATCTTTTAATGAACCTCAATAATGGAAATTTGTTTTTCTATCATTATGTTACTAATATATTCTCTCTCTGATGGCTCATCTCTATGTACATTGTTGCAAGAAAAGCAACTTCTGATATTTCTTCTGTTGAAAGTTTGCAATGTGCCTGATGCTATAAGTTCATTTCTTTTGTTGTGGCGATCTCTATAATGACCTGATCCATCTTCGTGGTTCCAGGTTAGTGAAATGATAAGGCGAAAATATGATATGAAGCGCAAACTCCTTAGGCAACAAGAATCTAATGGAGAACCTCTCTCAAAGGTTGACAAGACACGTTCAGTTGTGAAGGATTTACATTCCAGAATCAGAGTGGCCATCCATAGAATAGACTCAATTTCCAAGAAAATAGAGGAATTAAGAGACGGAGAACTTCAGCCTCAGCTGGAAGAGTTGATTGAAGGGTATGTTTCTTCGATTGTTTGTTTTTATGAACACCCTCTGATGGGAGTGTTGGTAATGAAAACCGTGACTGCTAGATTTTTCATCTGAAAACATCGCAAAGTATCAGTCGTTCTAAGCTGCTGTTGCAAAGTATCTATATTTTATGGTGCGTGTCACTAGAGTTGCTGGTGAAACTTGTTTGTGTAGCACGAGTTCTCAGAAATTGTGTTAATAAGTTCTTGTTTGTAATGCTTTTCATTTTATTTAATTTATTATTATTATTTTTTGTATGAGAAACTTAGGATGAAGTAGAATCTGCATGCTATGTTTGTTTGGTAAATACTAATATTCAAAAGTTCAATTGTGGAATATGTAGAGAATCTTTTGGGCACTCATTTCCTTATATTGTAGTCGGCTGTTATTCGATTAGTGTTACCATGACCTCAACTCGTAGGCTCCAGGTCTACTCAAAGAGAGGTGAAAACATAGTGTTGTCTGCTGAACCCAAAAGCTACTCAAACTTCTTCTTTTCCTAAATTCTTTTTTACTCTAGATTCACCTTTTTCTTATGTGATTTAGTTTGTCAGTGTCATCTTCTGACTTCTGACATCTCTCTTTGTTTTTTTAGATTGAGGAGAATGTGGGAGGTGATGTTTGAGTGTCACAAGCTTCAGTTTCACATTATTTCGGTGGTTTATACCCCAGGCAATGTCAAGATCACCGTGCAATCTGATTCACGCCGTCTGATTGTCATCCATCTAGAGAATGAGCTGAGCTCTCTATCCTCCAGTTTTACCAAGTGGATTCGTGCTCAGAAGACATATATCGAAGCTATAAATAAGTGGCTCTATAAATCCGTGTTGGTGACACAGAAATCATCCAAGAGGAAGAAAAAGATTCCCCCTCCACCCCTCAGACACTATGGCCCTCCTATATACGCTACCTGTGATATCTGGTTAGAACTCCTCAGTAATCTACCAACTGAAACAGTTGTAGATTCTATGAAGAACTTAGCAGCTGAAATAGATCGTTTTTTACCACGTCAAGAGAAGACCCATGGAAAAGGCGCAAACCGTCGTCATTCCTCACCCGACCAAGGTATCATCGATGGCGACCCTCATATGAATTTGTTAGGGGGAGGGGACGCATCAGAAGACCACCGGACACCGGGACTTGATCAGTTCCGCATTAGTCTGGCAAATTTACTTAATCATATGAGTACATTTGCTGAGACTTCTGTGAATATGTACACGAGACTGCAGAGAGAAATTGAGGATGCAAAGAAGAGTTATGAACAGCAAAAAACTCAGTAGAAATAGTATAGTGTTTAGAAAGATTACTTGGTTATATAGTTTATACCATTCTTGATGAACAATAAGGTGAAAAACATTAGATATACGAAATTTGTATTTGTATAGAGGAAGGAATAATAGGAATATGTAGTACATTTGTTCGAGCTTTTGACCAAACTTATATAAAAATTGGAATATGGAGCTCGACGTTGTCTTTTAGGCAATTTAGAAGGCTGCTTAGTGAAGATAGACGATAAACTTGAAGATCAGCAGCCTCTTTTGTTAGTTGATACATAAACATAAAGAAGATCAGTAGCTTCTTTCGTCTTGATGATTATCTTCATTAAATATCACGGTATTCGCTTCAGTGCTATTTATTGTCTTGAGAACCCTCGTATTGAGTACTCTCTCCATTTTGAAATATATGTCGTTTTAAGGTTTGGTGAATTTTTTTAAATATATATCATTTCACAAATTGAGGCACATTTGACTATTTTTTACCAAAATTACCTTTGCATTGGAAATGAAACAATATTTATAATAAATTTCTATTGGTTAGTGATGAGTTGTATATACAATTAATAAAGGTGTTTTTGTATTTTAATTATATTAATTAATGTCTTCTTGATTTTGATGAATTCTCTAGAAAGACATATAAAAAAAAATGAAGGGAGTACTACCTCCGTTCCTATTTATAAGAAGTTTTGGACATATTTTTTTCATTCCTCTTTTTATAAGAAGTTTTACATTTTCAAAAAAATATTTAATAATTTTTTTTCCTCTCTTTATCCTCACAACTAACCAATTCAAAATTAATTTAACCACTTCATTAATGTTATCAAGGACAATTTGGAGAATTTAAAATATTTTTGAGACAATAAACAAAATTTTGTTAGTTTTATTAATTTGTGTAAAGTTAGTTAACTCCATCTTATAAATAGTTATGGAGTTAAGTATTATGGAGATATTAGTATCTCGTATACACCGTCCCCACAAAAAAAATTAAGGAGTTTTGTTTGACGTAGAGTCAAGAGGAAAAGACTGCGCAAGTAGTTTTGAATTTTGTAAATTAGCCGAAATATTTTATTGCTTCCAAAAATTAGTCCATATTTACAAATTCAAATTTAGATTAATATAACTTCATCTTCAAATTTATAACATCTTTTCTTTTTTTTGAAGAAAGAATTTATAGCAACATTATTTTCAAAGTATTCCATAATTTCTTCATCAAATTTACGGGGTTTTTTTTTCAATAATCTAATTTACAAACATAGCCTCCTTATCCTCCCTTTTGATAAAATCGTTTTATTCCATTGTAGTGGGAAGCTAACCTCTTTCTTTACTACTACATAATAGCTACGAATATTTACCAAAAAAAAAAAAAAAAGCTATGAATCACTTCGTTATACCATGGCTACACGCATCTATGATTTTCTCTAATGAGAAGAACTTTACTTGATTTCAACTAATGACAAAGGCGAAATCCAACAAATTAAACTCTCGATTAATTCTTTGTTTCCTCTTTTGTCTTATATGTATTTACAGGTTCAATCTTGATTGAAAGGAGATATTCGATTTTTTTATGATATGTTTATGTTAGCATGTTACACTCAAATTGACAATAGTTATTTGCCGTTATTTGCTTAACACTAATCAAATAACTAGCGAATGAACTTATTTGGATAAATAATTAGAGTTAGACTTATGCAATTTTTTAACTATCGAATGTAACACAAAATATTAATTATAATTTTTTTTTATGCATAGTAGTGGTTTTATCGAATGTACTCAAACGAACTATCTTTATCATGAATATCTTGAGGACACGAATACTACTATCAAATTAATAAGGCTATAATTTAGGTATCCTATCTTTAAGTATGGACCATCTTTCTTTAGTTTGCATGGGTTTAATTACTTCCCAATTGTTTAGTTGATTGATAATCAAATACGAAAAGATTAAATTGAGATCTATAATAAATAAGTAACTAACAAGAATGATTCAAGAAACAAAAATGGTAAAGGAAATCTAAGAAGTTACCAATGTTCCAAATACAAATCCAGGTGTGTACTTATTTCCCTAACCCTAAGATATGTTTTAGTTGTATAGGTCTGTGTTCCTGCTTTCGATTCGAGAATATATTCTTTCTGTCTAAAATTATTGTATAATAATTTACATTCATATTTAAAATAAAAATAAAATTTAGATAATTATTTCGAAATATAGAAAGTAATAAGATAAAATGTGTCAAAAATATTAACGAAGCTAAATCCTTTTGGAATGGTTAAATATAAAAATTAATTGTTGCAAAAATACAAATCAAATACTTTTCAATCCTTATATGTATTCAACAAAAAAATAATAATAATAAAAATTGACCTATTGCCCACCAATTTTTTAATAATAATAAAAATTGACCTATTGCACACCAATTTTTTTTTTATCTGTAATATGTTATACCAGCAATTAACAGGCTGTACAGCATACATTAACAAAATATAGATTCGATAATGCTTTATTTATAAAATTAATACTGTTTTGTAAGAATTTGACTAATCTCATCCTCATCTACTTATTCTCCTTGTATTCAACACTACCATAATTTGGCATTATACTGACAATCTTTCGAGACAATATTAGCCTTCTCATCCAAGGCTGAAACCGTAACTTCACAGCTGACTCTAACGGTGATCTTCCAAGTCTTAACCGACCCAACCTTTATTTTAACGGGAGCTTTGATCTTAAAATTTAACGGCACCTTCGCTTGTTTCTGCTCGTTTAGGATGGCCGATTTGACGTTAGTCGCGAGAACCACGTTGGACCCCGTCAACTCCGTCTTAAACACCGTCACATTATTAGACGGCTGGTAAAACACCGGCAAACCGCCGTTAGCCAATCTAACGTCGCCGTGAAATACTTCCACTTCACTCCCTGATTTGTAATCTATCCCGATTTTCTTATTCGGGTTCTCCGCCCTTATGGTGACGTCAAAAACCGGCGAAATTGGTGACGGTGACGTCAGATTAAACCCCCGAATTGATAGATCCTGAACGGTGTAACTCGGCGCCTTCGGCCGGAAAACGAAGTAGATCACGCCGGCAGTAATAGAAGCAGCGAGGATGAGTAAAAGGAGTAGGACGATTGTGACATAGAGGCAGGTCCGGCACCGGCTCCGGCCAGTCTTCCGTCGGGTGAGGAGGTCGAACTTCCGGGCATTTTCCGGCGGCGGGTAGCTGAATATCTGCTCTTTCGGTAGCTGGATAACGTAGGTTGGCGGCGGCAGTGGCTTCTTCTCCGCCGAAGGAGGTGATGACGAGGGTATCGCCGACTCCGGTAAGAGATGATCGGAGGATTTCGCCGACAACGGTTCTTGATGATCGGCCGAGGAGGGGTGGATCCTATTTTCAGCCATTACGTTGTTCATTTCAATGAAGATTTCTTCAACAACTCAAATGACATCAAAGAAAATTCGCAATATCTGTGAATCTTATAGATGGATTTCGAGGTGAAGTGTCAGTTTGAAGTTTGAACTCTTCCCTCTCTTTTAAAATGCGATTTTAGAAAGAGGAGATGGACTTAGTGTGTGTGTGCGTGTTTATTTTTTGGTCAGGTTTTTATGATTTATGATTTTAATTTATATAAAGAAGCATTAAGGCGTGTTATCCTCTAAACCGTGTGAGTTGGAGACTCTGTGTGAGTGAGCCTAAGTTATACGAATAAACCGTGTGAGATACAGTTGTATTATTGCTGTTTGTTTCGTGAATTATTTTTCCTTCTTTTATTTTTTTTCTTTATTTTTTCTGAAATTGGGGAAGTGTGACAGTTTTTAGAGTTTTGGACCATTTTGATGACATTTGTGGATATCTAGTAATTTTAGCTTAATTATTGGTTAGATGGATTTCGAGAGCCTGCATGAGCACAATGAGTAATTAACTAGTATCAAAATAAGTAGAAGAAGATAAGGAATTATCATTGTATTTAATGTCAAATCCTTCAATCCAACTATATCATTTTTTATGTAACACTCCTCAGATGGTATTAGCAAGTAATTTAATGGCTAGTTACATTGGAATAAAGGACTAAGTAATCTAGTACTTGGTAATTTGTACATTCCATAATCTTACTTTGGTTTGGATTCTCTCTAGTACTACTAGGTACTAACTAGCAAGAGATTGGCTGCAAGCACTACATATCCGTTGTCTATTACAAAACCTACTAATTTTAAACTGAACAGTTATTTATACTGCAAAAAGTGATATTTGTGTGATGATTGGCATATATATATATATATATATATATATATATATAATTAGTACTTCCCCTCATTATCATTGTATGAATGATACTTTCACACATTGAACTTGTAAATCTGGTCACACATTGAACTTGGCTTTGTTTGTTTCATTTTTTTATGGTATTTTTAAATTAAAATATTAAAAACTGTCCCATCGTAATATACTTTTTTATATTTCTAATACTTTTTTATATTCACAATACAAAAAATACCTAAAAACACAAAAAAAAAAAAACGAAACAAACATAAGATTTTATGTGAACAACTAATCATAATTTCATACGCTTACTTTTGGAGCAGGCCTGCAGCTATATAAGAAATTCGCAATCTGTTTGGCATTTTCCAGCTTTATTTTTTTGAACTTAAGCATTTTCCAGTTATTACATAATAGTTTATTAGTATTACGAAAATTATGAATATGCTGCAGACTTTACTTCTTTACGTTTAGATGGTCAAATTTACAAATATTTTAAATAGTTAAATTAAGGACCGATCAGAAAACCACCCGAGATTCCCCCATTTTTGCATAAGGAAAAAAAAAACAAAATCTCATAAAATTGCACATTTTCAAGCTTCCTTGAACATTAATATGGTAAGGATTTTTTTCCGGTTATTACATAATATCATATTGTTGAAACAAATTGCGTTATTTATTGATCCTTATCCATTTAGTCATAAAAATAAACTAAAAATGAAATGTGAAAATGCATAACAAATACGTTATATCAAACCTTATACATATACACTCATCCGTCTCCTAAACATATGATTGTCCTGTTTGTCATGCTAAAAAAATATTAAAAAATGTATAATAATTTTGGCATGTAGAAACAACATATAGATTTGGTCGTTAAATAATAGCTAAGGACATTGTGAAAGTATATAAGTACATTGTACTCCCATCTCAAAACCAATTGCAATGAGTGAAGTGGGCTTTGGAACTTTATAAACAGGTGACAGATACATCACGACACCGATGTGGGATTCTTTGTCCCAACATCCTTCCTCAAGCCTAATAGGTGTATTTGGCCCATTGAGGTTGCACATCATAACATAATTCACCAGATATGCTACTGGATCAGTCCACAACTACGGATATACTACTGGATCAGCCAACAAGACCGCACACACTGGTCCATAGTTACCACAGGTCTACAGATCGTGTGCTCTGATACCGTGTCAAAGTATATAAGTACCTTGAGGTCCCATCTCAAAACCAATTGGCAATGAGTGAGGTGGCCTTTGGAGCTTTATAAACAAGTGACAGATACATTACGACACCGACGTGTGATTCTTTGTCCAACAGACATGGCTCTTAATTTCTTCAAATAATTGTCAACGGCCAATCATCAAGAATGCAGGCGACGGAGCAAAAAATATATTCAACTTTGAGTAGTTGTTCCATTTGCTAGTTCAACCTTACACGATCTTTGCCTTGTTTTAATGTCGTTGTTTGTTTCCCAAATCATTTGCCCCTAAATTATGGGTACAATTGTACGAAGAAAGAAAAGTCGTAAATTGGGTGGAATGATTTGAAGGGATTGAAGAAACAATGCAATTTGTATATTTTGGGACCTATTTTTTTTATATATAAGAGGGAAAAACTAATAGGTACATAATGATTATGTCATCACATTTTGACGATGAACAATTCCTACTAAAATTTTTTATTAATTTTTCGTCAATCAAAGAGTTTACATTCTTCGATGGGGTACTGTCCCAACTCTATGTGACCAAATGGGAATATATATGTTGCCACCAAGGTGAAAAATTCGATTAGAAATTAAATTTAACTCTTGACATACATTTTCCAAGCTCGCAGTGTAACTATGTGTCTACGTCATTATATTCCAGATTCATGAATCCTTCCTATCTCAAGCAAATGAGTGGTAATTATCGAAGTAGAGTTCATAAGTCATGATTCTTACCCATTCTGACATAAAATAATTGTCTAGTTTCTATTTTTATTTTTAGTATTATAATTTATATTAAAAATAAAATTTTAAACTAAACAATTATTTTGGAAAGGATAGAGTAGCATGACCAATAAATCCATTTTTCCATCTTTTATATTCATTCATCTCTTAGAAGACCTCCTGGCTGACCATTCGTCCTGTTCAGGAATCCATAGGTATTCAACTTCAACCAATCATTACATGATCAGTAAAAACTGGTTTACACAAATTACTTCGCATGTATAACATCTAATATATCGAGTTGCTATTAATCCTAGCTAATAGACGTCCATGCCTTCACACACGGAATTGTAACTTTTTCTTCAATAATTAATCAGGTAATTTTGAAGTCAATCCCACGAGAGTAAATAAAGTTTAATTTACTAAATTTGAGATATATTTGTGAATTAGAAGTTTCTTTGTCACTGATTGAAGATTAAAATTGAACAAGGATGTTTAATATTATACTCCGTCCTATCCTTAGTGTAAGGCATTTTTTTTTTAATTTTAGATTTCACCTAGTATATTTTTCTAATTAAAAAAAATAAAAATATTTTCTAATAATTAACATAACACAAATATAAACATATAATTTTATTTAATAAAAAACATAATAGTTGAAATTTAAAATAAATCGAAACATCTTATAAATAAAGAATTTAAAATAAATCGAAATATCTTATAATTAAAGTCACGAGGGAATACACCATTTCTCTACTCCTTTTCACAGACTACGTCCATTTACTTGCATACGCCATTTCCCTATTCCTTTTCACAGACTACGTCCATTTACTTGCATGGTAGGAGAAATCGAGGTTTTGGGTTTTCAACCAGAGAAAAAGTCAGCTGGGAAAAAAGAGGATGTTTATTTCTAGGGTTTCCTCCATCTCAACTAAATGTAAAGATTTCGTTAATTCAATTTTATTATTTAGTTTGAGTCGCTTTCCTGAAGTTAGTTTAATTTGGCATATATATATCATCACCTAACGCTTCCTGGAAGTTTCAATATTTCAATTAGTTTAATCATACAGTTGTTTTTTCTTTGCTGTCACTGTGACTAATCAAGAAGAAATCGTCCAATGTATTTATATATTAAAAAATTTCACAATTGGTGTAGTTATCTTCTTTTTTTTATATATATAATTCGAAAGTTATAGGAAAGTGAAATAGCTGAATAAAGGGCCAAAAAATCTATCTAATAATTATAACAATGCACCATCAGATAGATACTTATACTATTACATTAGTAAAATGAGTTCATTAACACTTTTTTATTATGACGATGAGGATTTTAGGATTGAAGTGACCGTTTAGTAGGAAATTCCCATTAACGGCACGGCATTCAACCTTTTGATACTTTTATTAAAGGTGTAAGTAACAATAATTTTATTGTGAAACGAATCATTTTTTTCAAAAAAGTAATTTACATTATAATTTGTAAATTATATTATTTTTAATTCTCCGTCCCAGAATAGATTCTATGATTCTGAAATTATCTCTACATTATAACCCAAAAAACAAAAGAAATTATCTCTACAAGGTTAATGGTCTATACTCTATACAGTTGAAGAAGGAAATATCTTTGTTATAAAGAATAAGTGAGTAAAAATAGTTCGCATATTGCCAAAAAAGAGAAAAAGGACACTACGCTAAAGTAGAAATCCGTCAAGCTAAACGATATGAAGATCGAAACTCAGAACCAAAGATAGTTGTCATGTGTATCAACCGGATATTTGGGAAGAAATTTCTCATATGCAGTTTATACGAATTTAAATTTCAGAAAGACAAATAGTCATGACGAAATTCTTCTTCTTCTTTTCCTTTGGGGGGGGGGGGGTGGTTGTGTGTTCTAGTTGAAAATTAAATTTTGTTAAAAATGACGATAAATTCGGTCGTAGTGACAAAAGATACGTATGATCGTCATAAAAAACTTATGTATTGATCAACCCTAACACGGGTATATATACACAATTATAAAGACCAATTACAAACGGTATTAGGAAACCCTAGACGTAGAAAGACCAATGTACCCTTATATATATATATATATTCTAATACCCCCTCAAGGTGGAGCATGCGGATTCCAAATGTTCATCTTGGACAATAAGTAGTCAAATTGACGTTGACCCAATGCCTTAGTGAAAAGATCAGCAAGCTGAGATTTTGTTGAAACATAGCGAGGTGAAATAGCACCCTGAAGAAAAGCATCACACAGAAAATGACAATCCATCTCACTATACTTAATACGCTCATGAAAGACCGGATTCGCCACAAGATATAGAGCAGGATGACTATCACAGTGAAGATGCATGGGCTGAGAGTGACGAACACCAAGACAAAGCAGTAAAGCCT